CCCACCGAGCCCCCTGGCAGCCCTTACCTGGCTCTGGCTTCACGCATTGGACTCGGCAGCCCACGCTGCAGCACTTCTCGTCGCCTGGGCATTCGCTGTCAGAGTTACAGCGCACATCGCACGTGGTGATCAGGCCAGGTTCTGACTGCGGGCAGGAGCCCCTCTTGGCTAGAAATGGTCAGCAAGGTTAGAGCCCTACCAGCCCCTGCCCGCTCCCACTGCCCAGCCCACCCCCAAGGGTGCCCACCCCCAGGGTCCTGTGGGCAAGGAGCAACAGGTACCTCTGTCCCCCGGCACCAGGGCTGAGAGCAGGGGTGGGTGCAGGGGCCACCCATGCCAGCCCTTGTGGGTGATGCACCCCACAGGCAACGGCTGTGCTCGGAAGATCCCAGACCCAGGGCATCTCGTCCACATGCCAGGACAGGGTGTGGGGGCTGGCAGGGCTGCAGGACCCACTGCCCAAAGTGGCTGTAGCCCATCACCCCACCACCACCACCACCTTGGGGGGCAGAGCACAGGCTTGTTTTGGGAAGAAGGCACCTCCTCACCTCCTTTGGGGAGCACGCACTCCCGTCCACAGCCGGTCCTGCAGCAGAGCTCGCTGCCCGGGCAGTCATCATTTGAGGAGCAGAAGTCGTCACAGAGCCTCAGGAAGTACCTTGTGGACTCCGGGCACTGGCCAAACTTCCCTGGGAGAACGGGCAGGGGGTTATGGTGTGCGGGCAGGGCCACCCCCAGCCTGGGAGGGGGTGACACGGCCGGGACGTGTCCTGCCCCAGCAGCGGGGACACATCACGGTGCAGAACACCAGGGGACCCACCACCTCCAGAGCCCACGGGGCCACCCGGCGCCTCGGGAGCAGCTCGGAGGCTGTGACATCCCCCATCAGAAGGTCTAGGGGACACCGGGGCGGTGTCGGGGAGCGGGGCAGACCTCAGAGGGCATCCCCAGCCCGGAGTTCACCTGGCAGGCGCTTACCCGAGACCAACGGGGGGGCCGGGAGGACCAGCAGGAGCAGCAGCGGGAGGAGCATCTCAGGCTTCATGGCTCTGCATCCTCGCCGCCCGCTGCCCCTTAAATACAGCCCGGGAGCACCGGGCCCGGCCCGGGCTTGGCACAGCGCCCCACGCCGGCCCCCGCCTCCGGGCACGGGGCTCCCCAAGACCGGAGGAGCCGGTCCCCGCTCCCCATCCCGGCCCGGCCCGCTCTGACGGAGCAACAGCCTCCTCTGCCGGTCGTCACCCGGGATGCTCCGCCGGGATGGGCCCACGGAGCCCACGGAGACAGGACTGGGGACAGGACTGCTTTCCCAGCCCT